GGCGCTGCCAGCGGGGACCCCCGCACCCGGCCCTCTCCCGCCCACAGATGCAGGTCCCCGGCGGCCCGGTGCCCGCCTTGCAGATGATCCAGGCCACTCTGGGCTCCGGCGTCAGCCCGGGTCTTGCCCTGCGCCCGTCACGCAGCTGTGAATCACCCGCATGGGGCCGGCGGCTTGTGGCTGGCACGCAGGGCGGGAGGAGCGTGCCCCAGAATGATCCCCTGCAGAGCTCCCTCCTTCGGGGCCAGGCAGCCTGGCAGTGCTGCCCCCTCGAGGCTGGGCGAGAGAGGACTAGGAGCCACGCCTGGGAGCTCTGGCATTCAGATCCTGGCTCTGACTCTGAGCCGGAACCACCCCTCTCCTGCCCCGTGCCTCAGTTTCCCCAGTGATATTGCTTCCTTCCCTCCCTCCTGGGCGTGTGGGGAGGGGAAGGGCCTTACTTTGCAAATGGGGAGAGTGCTACACACGCTCCAGAATCATCATATTGTCCCGGGTACAGCCTGGGAGAGCCCACAGCACTTGGCAAATCGTTACCGTCTGATCCCACAGTGCAGGGGACAAAATATTTGGCCCCGCCGCGCCGGGAGAGGCGGCGATCTAGCCGAGCGGGCTGGGAGCTGGCAGTTGCTGGGTTCCAGTTTCCAAGGCTTCTCTGCCTCGGTTTCCCTCGGTCTGCTCTTCACCGCACTTTGGGCCATTGTGCAGCCCCGTGCGAAGGGGGCGTGAAATGTTGGAGCAGAACCCGCTGCTCCCTTGCACTGGTGGGACTGTGAAACAGCCCCATGGGGACGGAGGGCAGCCTACACCAGGGGCAATTTCACAGAGCGGAGTGGAGTGAGCCAGGCAGAAAGCTGGCGGGGGGAGGAGACTTAGAATCACTTGAACTGAAGGGGGGGGGGGGCTGACCTGGCTCGTTGGGCTCACGGTTGGGTCGGGAAGCAAAACTCGGATGGTTTCCTGGCGTCCTGGCAGTGGGGTGAGCGTCTCAGCAGGTGTCAGTGAGCCCAGCTGAAATCGTGGGCGTCTCATCCCTACCTGGGGCGAAGGGCCCCCACGCCAGGGCCCCGTGATCCCCCCGCTGCGGGGGGACTGGCCTGGGCACAGCCAGGGCGGGGGAATTTCTTCGCCTGGGAAGCCCCCTCAGCCACTCTCCCCGGGTGTGCCAGCAACTGTGCTGCAGCATGTCACGGCCATCGTTTGGGGGGCGGGGGCAGCCCCCCGCCAGCTGGGCCCTGGAGGGATGTGAGGGGGGCACTGGAGAACGGGGCCTTCATCCCTACGGCTGCAGAAACATGCACCCCTCTCTCCTGGCGCTAGGCCCCCAAGGGCCTGCTCCCGGGGCTGGGGGGATGCGAGGGGGGCAGGAAGGGCGCATCCCTCCCCCACTGGCCAGTCCATGGCACTGACTGGGCACCTGGCTCGAGATGCCTGGCTGGTGGGGAGAAAAGGGGAAGCTGGGTGTGTGGGGGGTCCAGAGAGGAAGGGGGACGCACACCCGGAGCAGGAGAGGAGAGAGCCAGGGCTGAGTGGCCCGGGGGCGCTCTGCTTGGGATCTGGGCCGTGCAGCCGCTGTGCTCCGGCCTTTCCCCCGGGCTTGGGCGCAGGGAGCGGCCCCGGGAGGCGGAGAAGAGGGGCACGGCCCAGCCGGGGAGGGGGATCTGGGACAGGATAACACGACTTCCTGCCTGCAAGCTATTTTCATCCGCTGCCAGAGAGCCAGGGCTGAGTGGCCCGGGGGCGCTCTGCTTGGGATCTGGGCCGTGCAGCCGCTGTGCTCCGGCCTTTCCCCCGGGCTTGGGCGCAGGGAGCGGCCCCGGGAGGCGGAGAAGAGGGGCACGGCCCAGCCGGGGAGGGGGATCTGGGACAGGATAACACGACTTCCTGCCTGCAAGCTATTTTCATCCGCTGCCTTTGCTGTTTATGCGGCTGCAGCGGCAGCCATGGCTGGGGGCAGCCAGATAAAACA